AAGTAAATCATATAGTATGTTAGAAGTGCTACAGCAAAAGAGAAAGCAGAGTAAAAGGGCTTTGGGTGTACTGAGAGAGTTAAGAGTGGGCTGTGATTTTTAAAAGGTCAGGGTAGGCTTCAGTGAGGTAACTTTTGACCAAAGAAGGTGAGAGAGTTGGCAATGCAGATACCTGGGTGAAACACGTACAAGGCAGAAGGCACAGCCAGTGCAGAGGACCCAACTTGGGAGCATGGCTAGCATCTTCTAGGGTCAAGAAAAGAGGCTAGAACATATTGGAGAATGACTGATAGGAGACGAGATTTAGAGAGGTAATGCTCAGGCGTGGAGTGGTGGTGCTGATCTTACAGAACCCTTTAGATTATTGTAAGGATGTAGATTTTCACTCTAAGTGAAATAAGGATCATTTAATGCAGGAATTTAAGCAGAGAGAAGACACCTGACTTACATTTTAAAAGGATCATTCAAGCTATCATGTTGGGAAGAGGCAAGCATGAGAATAGGGAGAGTTTTTAGAAGATGAATCCAAAGATGAGATGATGGTGGCTCAGACCAGGGAGTAGTAGTGGAGGTGGCTCCGACTGTGGACTAGACATGGGCGTGAGAAAACAAGGGAGTCCACAATTGCTGGACAGCAGTAAGGATTTACTTGAGGTTCATGGTGATGAAATTAAAGTCAAACTACTCAGGGTTTTTGGTCTGAGCAACCTGAACAATAGTTATCAAACGAGAGGAAAGTTAGTGGGTTCAATAAGTTTGAGAGAGAATATTGCTCAGTCTGTGACATGTTTGAGGATATCAGAATCTGGAGTTCAGGTAAGAGGTCTAAGCTGGATATATAAATTTAGGAGTTGTCATCATATATGATGATATCATGTATCTTAGATGGTATTGAAAGTCAGGAGACTGGTAACATCAAGGAAATGAGTATAGATTAAAAAGAGTTCAAGGGACTGGGTGTGGGAGGCTCACACCTGTAATCCCAGCACTTTGGGAGGCTGAAGCAGGCAGATCACCTGAGGTCAGGAGCTGGAGACCAGCCTGGCCAACATGGTGAAACCCTGTTTCTACTAAAAATGGGCCAGGTGTGGTAGTGGGCACCTGTGATCCCAGCTACTTGGGAGGTTGAAGCAGGGAGAATTGCTTGAATCTGGGAGGTGGAGATAGCAGTGAGACAAGATTGCACCACTGCACTCCAGCCTGGGCACAAGAGAGAGACTCTGTCTCAAAAAAAAAAAAAAAAAAAAAGAATTCAAAGAATGAGCCCTGGTTAAGGGGTCTGAGAGAAGAGATGGAACCCAGCAAAGAAGACAGGGAAGGAGGAACCATGAATGAAGGAGGAAAACCAAGAGGATATGGTTAAAAAAAAGTGAATTAAGTGATTAGTTGTGTCAGCTGTTACAGATACGTCAATCAAGATGAGAATTGAGACTAGATCATTGGGTTTAGCCAATGTGAAGTTCATTTTTGGCCTCCACAAGAGTAGTTTTGATAGAGTGGTAAGGACGAAAGCATGAATGGAGTTTAAGAGAGGGTGGGAGACCTACCACTCAGCTGATGATCTATAATATGCCACATATGTAACCTGGTGTGTAATGATTCCACTACATATATATGTAGTCTTAACATATGTATCATGCGTGACATATTTTTGAACTTTATATAAATGGTATTGTATGGTATGTATTCTGCTGCTGTGGGAGAACTGCAGACAAAGTATAGAAAACTCTCTTAGAAGCTTTGTTGCAAAGGGAGTAGAGAAATGGGTGATAGTTGACAGTAGAAATAAGTCAAAGAGAAGAATCTGTAGGACTGGAAAAATCACAGCTGCTTGTAAGCTTATTGGAATGACCCAGTAGAGGAATATTGATAATATAGAATACAGGGATAATTGCTGGAGTGACAGTGAGGATCTTGATTAGGCAAGATAGGACTGAGATCTGTGTCTTGGTGACAATGCTCCTTTAGCTAGGAACATGGCAATTCAACCATGTGAGGATGGGAAAGGCAGAGTAGAGGCTGGTATATGGGTGTGGGTTATGTTGAGATTCTGTGGAAGTTTTTCTCTTATTGCTTCAATTTTCTCAAACAAGGGTATTAACTGAGGATGATCAAGGGGAGGACATGCGAGTTAGAGGACAGAGAAGGTACAAAATCCAGAAGAATGGAGGAGGGAAGTAGAACTGCTGGACAGCACAAAGGGTCTAACTGAGGTTCATAGTGATGAAATTAAAGTGAAAGTACTCAGTGTGATTGTGTTCTTCTCTAGCCACATTCAGATGCGTGAGTGCTAGCCTGAATCAGGATTGTGGCTTTGCCAAGCAAGCATAACAAAGGGAGAGAAAGGCAACGAGGCTGAGGGCATGTATAAGAGTGATTGTGATTGACCAGGGGTTGAGGCTGGGTGAGAGCAGATATGAAGGTTCAAGAATTGTTGGAATTAGAGTACTACAGGGAGTGACCTGGAAGACTAAGGTGGTGACTGGAGTGTGAGATGTTTGAAACTGAGATAATGAAGAAGTTGCAGAGTCTGATAAGGCTAATGTGATTATGACCATGGGAGTAAGCGGCTGAGGTAGGGTATGTGCAAGTTAGAGGTCAGAGAAGGTACAAAATCCAGAAGAGTGGTGCAGGGATGTATAACAGAATTCCTGAACAGCATTAAGGGTCTACCTGAGGTTCATGGTGAACAGCGGGGGTCTCCAGCCAATAGCCAGGAAGAGACTGAGGCCCTCAGCCCTGCAGCCTGCAAGGAACTGAATGTTGCCAACATCCACATGAGCTTGGAAGCAGATCCTCTGTCCCAGCCTCACTTTGTAGAGGACACAGCTAAGCCATGCCTTGACTCCTGACTCAGAGTAACTGTAAGATCACAAAATTGAAGCAATGAGAGATCCCTGGAGAAGAAGAAAAGGAACTGAGAGGCCAGGGTACAGGGAAGATCTTATAACCGCCTAGCACTAGGACAGAAGTGGCATGAGAGTGACTGACAGGAGCAAATTGTGCAGAGATAAAGGGGAGTGAGGTCAGCGATAGAGGTACTGGATAGCAAGATTTAAAGCTACTGGTTTAGAGGAGGGGGATGGCTTGAAAGCAGTGTTGAGAAGCAAGAAGGAAACCTACCTCACCTCCAGGCACTGAGAGGCTGAAGGCTGAAAACACAGTTGCCACTACTCGAGAGGTGGAAGGAGCAGTTGTCCAGGGCAAAGCTGGGGTTTCCCTTAAGTAAAAAGGTGAAGGGAACCTGAAGGGAAATTCTGAGAAGAGGCTGAGCTTATAGGGAATGCCATTTGCATAAATAAATGGATAGTGTTGTAGACAGAATCTAAAGAAGGCCCATATGATCCCCACCTCCTGGTGTTCATGCCTTTGTGTGTCTCCTTCCCCTTCAGTGTCGGTATTGCCTGTGATTTGCTTCTGGCCAGCAATGTATGGCAAAAGTGACAGGGTATGAGTGATACTGTGTATGTGACGATGTTACATAAGATTGAAACCAATGTCTTGCTGAGACTCTCCCCATTGCTGGCTTTGAAGAAGCAAGCTGCCATATTGTTAGCTTCCCTATGGAGAGGACCACATGGCAAGGAACAGAGGGGTTCTTCAGCCAACAGCCTGTAAGGGACTGAGGCCCTCAGTCCTGCAGCCTGCAAGGAACTGAATGATGCCAACAACCACATGAGCTTGGAAGCGGATCCTTTGTTCCAGCCTCACTTTGTAGAGAACCCAGCTAAGCCATGCCTTGTCTCCTGACCCAGAGAAACTGTAAGATCATAAATGTGTATTGTTTTAAGCTTCTATATTTGTGCTGATATTGTTATACAGCAATAGATAACTAATACAGATGAAATGGAAGAAGTGTAGTTTTAACAATGTCTCAATTTTTTTAAAACTTCTTCTGAGGTGTATTACCTAAGAATCACATATTGAACTATTATTAAATCATGTTTAGTAATCTATCAGCTGACAGACCTTCCTTCAGTTTTGCTGACAGAAAAGATTGGAAAACCATCTGACTTGCAAAATAACTTAAAACCCTTCACCTAAGGTCATTTACTTTCTCAGCATAGATACTGGTATTTGAATTGCAGGAGAGGTTCTGCATTGACCGAGTGCACCTTAGTAATGGGTGAGAATTGTGACTTTCTTTTGTAAGGTGGGAGGGAGAAGGACAGTTTTGAAAACAGGTGCTGTGTCCTTAGCTCCCTTCTCAAGCTGGGCAATTTTAGAAAATAGAACATATAGCAATGGAAGATATGGAAATGAAATCCCTTAAAACTGGTTTTCATAAACCCCAGTGGTAAGAGAACACCAGTTTGAAGCTTCAGGGGCCTTCTGATAAAAAAAAGGGAATGGCCCAGGATGTGGAGGACAGAATGAAGCACTGAGGATGCGTGGCGAAGGCGTGCGGTGGGTGGAGGTTTCTGGACTACGTGACCTAAGAAATGACTTTAGAACTGGCTCATCATTAGTTTTGGAGGGACTAAAACTAGACTCAAAGTAGTTCCTGCTTGGTGAAAATATATCATTAATGCGTTTTAAATTAAAAAATAAATGTACGTGTCTTGTAAAAAATGAAATAAAAGAAGCATAAAGCCAAAAGCAGAGCCTATGCCTTTCCCCACCGAACAAACAGATAACCTAGTTAATAAGTGTGTAGTAGGAGTCGAAGTTCCCCTCCAGCTCCGAGAGTGCTCTACATCTCTTCCAACAAAACCACTCACACTCGCAACGCCTGGCAAGGCTCTTCAGTGCGGAATTCCTTGACTGTCCTGTGCGTCTCTCGAGTTTAAACACCTCTGGAGCTCGAGATTCGGGGCTGCCAGAAACGGAATATGCGGCCAGCGTCTGTTTCTTCCCGAAGTGAACTCCCACAACCTAGCCACTTTCTCCTCCGAGCTGTCGATTGGCTGTTGAAGGCCAATTTTTGTGCCTACGCAGGTCCTCAACACAAAACAAAAAACCAACAAAGGCCGGGCTAATCACTGTTTATAAACACTTACTGGACGCCCACTCAACGCCGAGCTCTCCTGCGCAGCTTGGGTACTTTTTTGCAAAGAGATGCCAATGTCCCCGGCGACCACTCCCTCAAGCAGGCCTTCGCCCTCCGCCCGCGTCGCGGCCCAGGCCCAGCCCCAAGCCGGGACTCAGAGCCGCCAGCCGGCTGGCGCTGCCCTGCAAGCGCCTGCGCAGAGCGACCCTCCCCGTCACTCGGGGCGGGGGACGGGAGGCGGGGGCAGCCGGGAGAAAGGAAAGCTGCGGGGGAAAAGGGCCAAACCCTGAAATTACCCGGATGTGGTCCCCGCGCGCGCATGCTCAGTGTCCTCTCGACAAGTTGGCAGCAACAACACGGCCCTGGTCGTCGTCGCCGCTGCGGTAACGGAGCGGCTCGAGTGGCGGAGCCTGCGTTCGCGCCCTCCTGCTCTCCTCGGGAGGCCTTTCTCGCCCTCCCCTCAGCTCCGCAGGCGCCCAGCGGGTGGGAGCGGGTGAGGGGAGCCGGGTGCCTCGCGAGAGAGGCCCCCCGCCGCGGGGCTGCCCGGGAGCTCGAGGCGGTCAGGTCGGCGCGGGCAGCGGTGCGACGCTGAGGAGAGGCGGCCTGGCCGGGACGCCTCGGGGCGGGGGCCGAGGAGCTCTCCGGGTCGCCGGGGAAAGCGACGGGCCCGGCGCCTCCGCGGACCAGCAGCGGCGGGAGAGCGGACTCCCCTCGCCACCGCCCGAGCCCAGGTAACCGCGCCATGTCCCCTCCCCTTCCCCCGGCCGGGCCCGCGCACCCCGCCCGCGGCTTCTCCGCCCCGGGGCGGGCTCCCGGGGGCAGCAAGGAGCGCGCGGATCCGCTGGGAGAGCGACCGCGGCTACCTGACGAGCCGGGCCGGGCGGGCTGGGTGAGTGCCGGGTGGCGGTGCCTCGCGTCCCTCCGGCTCCCAGCTCCGCTTGCAGCTCGTGGGAGAATCAAGTTAAACTCGGACGGGACTCCTGCCGCGGCCGCCGCTCCTCTTTGTTGTTCTGAAGTAGTTTTTCGGTCGCCCGGGCCGAGCGCGTTGGGTCGGCTGGAGTGTGTTGCCTTACGGTCTAAATGAAAGTTGTAAATTGTTTGTCTTAATTTGTTTTCTCCAGCCAATTTCTGTTTTCTCTTTGTCCTTTACTTTCTCTTCCTAGTCGTGTCAATGCCAGTTTACGCTTCTGTCTTTGATATGTTTAGTTTTTGAGTGCTGAGAGTGACGGTGGTATGCCGGACACATTCTTAGCACCTAACTGAACCCCTTCTTCCCCCTATATAACATGCTTCCTAATAAAAGACACAGTAGATCTTACTGTTAGCACTACATGTACTGAGAGTGAAATTGGTGTAGGTGGAGGGCGGTGGCTCCATCACTTGCCCCAAACTGCTGTTAGGATTTCTCAAACTAGATTTTCAAAGACACGAGTGTGTTTAGTTAACCTGAAAGATTTATTTGCTGGTGCAGAGGTTTTACAAAGCCCTGCTGAAGATTGATAGCTGTTTCCCCTCAAAAACCTAAGTACATTTGTTTTTAATAAAACACACACACACACATTTATTTCCAAATTAGTTTCTTAATGCATTTAGTTTTTGCACCGTAGTTTAAGGTGGAATTGCCAGTTATTTAGGAATAATAAATATAACAAGATAATAAGGGAATTAGCCTGAGTTGACTTTCTGCAGACATACAATCTTAGCTAATTTTTGTTAATAACCTTTGACTTTTGTCGGAATTAGAATCCTTTTAGTCTTAGTAGCAGCTTGGTTACTCGAGTATTTAAGAAGTAGGTTCACTACTTTTTGCTGGCAAAAAACATTTAGAGTCTCAGAAAAATGAAATGCATAATGTTGTAATTAGGTTTAGAACATGCCATTTGAATAATTTTTATGGTGGATTTCATATAGGAAGTTCTAAAGTGTAACTTTTTTTATGCTAAGGACTTATTCTCTCTATATTGGAAAGTTCTGATGTGATTAGTACATAACATTCCAAACTGTAAATGATTAACATTTAAAAACATGGATTTTTAAAATTAATGTTTCTTCCATAATGCTGTCATGATTTTGTATACTTAAATGTGTTCCTTACAGAACAAATGTAATAGAGATAGGCCAAGCATTTATAATTTGGAGTAGCTTTAGATCTAAAGATGGTGATGAATTATGTAGGCTGAAGTTGTTGGAATTAAAACTAAAAGCTTCTTTAGATAAAATTGTTATAACATTTGACTTTGTTAATAGAAGTGGCTTTTTCTTTGCTTTCCAGGTTTTGGGGTGAGTTTTAGAGAAGTATTGCATCTTGGCTTGTTTATTTTTGAAGTGGGGGTGTATGTCTCTGTTTAGGTCAGTGCCTTCAGTGTAAATCTTGAGTTTAGAAAAAAAAACAAATTGCAAATCTGTTTTTCAGACTTAATGAAAATTTGTGCTGAGAAAGTCACTTTGAAATATTTTGGAATAAGTTTTACGTGGATGATTGACTTTTTATGATAGTTTTGCCGCTTGAAGCAATTCTGCCTATACTAGGAAGCAGCAAATCTTATTTTAGAAAACTTGTGCTTCACTTTCTTAAGCTACATTTTAGTCGAGCGATTGTGTGTGAATTCCTTTTCTGTATTCCCCTTCAGTTTTTTGTTTCCCCCCAAATTAAGGAGCAAGCATTAGCCTAATTTATACTGCCCAGTCACACTGCAGCTCTCCCACTTGGAAGCAGTTTCTTTCTGATTGAGCCAGTGTTATAGTAACATCATTAGACACTATTCTAATTGAGGTGTGAATTACTGAGGCCTTACTAGGGAGGTTAACCCTATAGCATCTGCAGGATTTATTATATATAAAATGCATATTTAGGCTTGTCTAAATTTTTGCCTATTTTGGTGAAAACAAGTTTTGCCGATGTTTAAACTTAGTTCATTTTGTCCTCTCTAGTTCATATCTAACCTTTTTTTCCATTTTTAATTCAGTGATTTTGTTTTAGAGTGACTGGTTCTTTAAGCATCTTGTAATAGCCATTTCAGCGCTCATTATATATGTTTGGATTTCTTTTTGTTGTTGTTGACCTGGAAGACTGTGTAGTTACGAAGAAAAAAAATTTTTTTTTTTTTTTTGCTTAGATTGATGATGAATGGTGGCTCTGAGATGACTGTTAATTGTGTATAAAAGTAACCTGACAAAAAATGTTTTGTTATCTACAGTTAAAGGACTTAGACCAGAATAACACAGCATTTTTTTATTCTTCTTTTTTTTTGGGGGGATGGAGTCTTGCTCTGTTGTCCAGGCTGGAGTCCAGTGGTACAATCTCGGCTCACTGCAACCTCTGCCTCCCAGGTTCAGGCAGTTCTCCTGCCTCAGCCTCCCGAGCAGCTGGGATTACAGGCATGTGCCACCACAGTGCCTGGCTAATTTTTGTATTTTTAGTAGAGACAGGATTTCGCTACGTTGGTTAGGCAGGTCTTGAACTCCTGACCTCAGGTCATCCACCCACTTTGGCCTCCCAAAGTGTTGGAATTACAGGCGTAAGCCTCTGTGCGTGGCCATAACACAGCATTTAATACAGTTTTGTAAAATTATCAAATTTTGGACTTTTGTTCAACAGTTGATGAAGTCTCAATTGTTGCAAAATGAGAAATTCAAACAGTTGACAAATATATCTAGATATATTCATTTGAGCTACTTGTAGAGTGATGCTGTTTGCATATGCCAAGCATACACTTGATCATAAGTGAGATTTAGAAGTTTTGGATTTTTTTTTCTCTTTCTAAAATGTGTAATTTTGGTGATGGGAAATTTGACTGAATCCAGTTTCTCAGGAACAAAGTATTTTAGGTTGTGTCACCTTGACACTATTACATGGTGTATCCAGCATCCGGGAATATTTGTTTTTAACTATGAAAGTGAGTGAAACCTAGAGTAGTGCTTACATATGTAAAACTAAGATGGTAGATAGTTGGATTCTTATAATTTATAAGGTTCTTATAATCTAAGTCTCGGTAAGTTGCTAGTGCAAATTATAGATCAGACAGATAAGTATCAAAGACCAGTCATAAAGAGGGTCTGTTAACATTTTAATCAGCTTAAAATTGGCGATAATGGTAAAGACCTTTCGACTCAAAGACTTTTTTTATTTCATTATTTACATTTCAAATGCGAATTTTTTGCAGTTTGGAAAACTTGTAAATGTGTTGAATTTATCTTTTTTTGAGACAAAGTCTCGCTCTTGTCCCCCAGGCTGGAGTGCACTGGTATGATCTGAGCTCACTGGAACCTCTGCCTTCTGGGTTCAAGCCATTTTTCTGCCTTACCCTCCCAGGTCGCTAGGATTACAAGCACCTGCCATCACGCCTGGCTAATTTTTGCATTTTTTGGGGGGAAACGGGATTTCGCCATGTTGGCCAGGCTGGTCTTGAACTCCTGACCTCAGATGATCTGCCAGCCTCAGCCTCCCAAAGTGCTGGGACTACAGGTGGGAGCCATCTCGCCCAGCCGAATTTATCTTTTTATTGACTTTTTTACTCCCAAGGCTTAGGGCAATGGTCTCTCCTCTCCTTCTCCCTCTCCCTCTCTTTCACTTTCTTTCTCTCTCTTTGTCTTTCTTTCTCCCTTTCTCTTTCTTTCTCCCTTTCTCTTTCTCTTCTTTTTTTTTTTTTTTTTTTTTTTTTTTTTTTTTTTTTTTTTTTTCATCTTGCTCAGTGCCCCAGCCTAGAGTACAGTATTGCAATCATAGCTAACTGCAGCCTTAACCTCCCAGGCTCAAGCAGTCCCACCTCAGCCTCCCTAGTAGCTGGAACTACAGGCATGCACCATCACACCTGTCTAATTTTTTTTGAAAATTTTTTGTAGAGACAGGGTCTCCCTCTGTTGCCCTGGCTGATCTTGAACTCTTGGGTTCAAGTGATCCTTCCACCTTGACCTCTCAAAGCTGCTGGGATTATAGGCGTGAGCCACCATGCCTGGCCAGTAGTTTTCAATCTTGGCTGTACTTTTAGATATCTTGGGGAGTTTTACAAAATACCGATGCCCGAATTCCAGCCCCAGAAATTAATGTGATTTGGCTGGTCTGTGGTGCAGCCAGGTTAGCTCTCCACAGTGATTGAGCCATTAGGGTCCTCTGACTTTTCCTTTTGAACTGTTTCACTTGTGTTAGCTTTACATTCTTTAATACGGTGAAATACACATGCACAGTGTAGTCATTTCACACTTAATGGGTCTTTTGAAAGTATTGCCATATTTGTTTTGCTTCTGTGTCTGTCTCTTTTCTTTCTCTCCCCCTTCCTATCACATGTTTCTTTCTCCTGTTTCTTTCTTTACTTTCAGTTTATTTGAACTCTCTGGTAGTAAGTTTTTAGGAAACTGTATTTCCCATTATGAGAAGTTAGTATATCATCACTCTTTTAAATAGGAAGTTACTCTTCTTTTAAAGTATATTCTCAAATGCTTACTTGTACTCCTTTTAGAGACTAATTACTTTAAGTCCCTAAGTTAGCATCTAACTCCCGGTGGGCTTGATGTGATGGCTTACTCTTCTAGTCTCAGCACTTCCTGAGGCTGAGGTGGGAGGATCACTTGAGCCCAGGATTTCAAGGCTAGCCTGGGCAACAAAGTGAGACCTTTACTCTTAAAAATAAATAAATAAATAAATGAATAAAACTCCCAATGCAAATTGTCTTCTTAGGGGGTTAATCTACTTGGAAACCATAATGTTTTCTAGCCACCAGTTAACTAGCCACTTAGCCGGTTTTTGAGACGCAGGTTGCATTGGGCTTTTTCTGTCAGGGCTTAACTTACACACTGCAAGACAGTTGCTCAGCTAGGCCAGCTAGCTAGTACGTCTTTAGAGATCATCGAGGGCATGTTCAGCTCTCCATTTACATCACCTGAAGTAGGTCCCAAGTGCTGGGCTATGGAGTACTTTCATCTCTGTCCCTGGAAAAGCTGTTTTAAAAAATAAAAATATTTTTTCCCTGCCTGATTGCAACACACATGCTGCTTCAGAATGGCAATGGAGTGGAGGAGACTTGGGAATCTGCATTTTTTTAAAAGTATCTCTTGATTCTAAGGGCTTTGTTTATTTTAGTATGCTTATCCTTGTTGCTTTATTTGTCCATTTGTCTTTCTGTTTTTTTAGAGATAGTTCACTAAGGCTGGAGTGCAGTGACACCATCATAGTCCACTGTAATCTTCAACTTCTGGGTTCAAGAGATCTTCCCGCCTCAGCCTCTAGAGTAGCTAGGACTACAGGCATGTACCACTATGACTGGCTGATTTTTAAAAATTGTTTTGTAGAGATGGGGGTCTCGCTTTGTTGCCCATGCTGGGCAAATCTTATTTATGATTTACAACTAGGACTGCTACTGAATATTTATTTTTATAGTAAGGTATTATTTCTGTAACTTAATATGGATGAATGTATGCTATTCAGGTCTTTTCAAGTCAAAATATATTTCTAAATGTAAACTGAATTAAGGATATTTGTCAGTGATATTCACTAGTGAATTCTAGAGCATATGATACCAGTAAATGGTCAGTCATTGTAAAAATTGAATCATCTAGTGAAAGGATGACTGGAAATAATATTTAATGGGGTAAGCTAAGCCAGGAATCATTGTACATAAACATATTAGGTGTGTCTTACGTCTTAAATATGCCTACTAAAACTAGTTGAAGGAATAATGTGCATAGATGTTAAAATAATGAAAGGGCTGGCTAATTGTAAAGAAAAATGATACAACTTCTATGTAATTAGTCTTTTTAATCAGTTGCATATATTCATAATATTTAATTTGTAAAGTAAAGATTGTAGACTAGATAAGTGCTCTGTAAAACTAACAGAACCTCTGACTTCCATAGTGCTTTTTAAAGGTACAGCCCCACCCTTGATTGTAGTTAGTGGAACTTGCCTAACCTGCAGGGGATTTTGATTCACCCCCTTTGAAGAAATAGGCTAGATGGCTTGATAGTCTCTTTGATTTAAGCTTTATGAAACACATTTTTCAGTTATCAGTTATTAAAATTCAGTTTAGTTTCCACCATCTTTTAAAACAGTGGTTCCCAAAGTATTGTCCACAGACTCCTGGAGATCCCTAAGATCCTTATATTTAAGGGGCTCACAAAATCAAAATTATTTTCATAATGAAACTGACACATTATTTGCCTTTTCACTGTGAGAACATTTGTATGGATGGTGAAGGAGCAGTGGTGGGTAAACTGCCAGGACTTTAAAATGCATCTAGGCAGTTGTACCAAAGGTATGAGTTCTTATTTTGTTCTTTATAGTTAAACACACGTTAAGCATTTGAAAAAATGCCAGTTTCACTTAATAATCCCCTTTCTGCAGCAGTAAAAAGGTTTAATTTTAAAATCTCTACCCTGGAGTACATTATCTTTTTAATATTCAATGTGATTAAATGGGAAGTATGCATAAAGCATTTCTGCACATTGAAGTACAGTGTTCTTTTCTAGGAAAAGCACTTGTGTGATTTAGCTGCAAGCTGAACTAGCTGCTTTTTAATGGGACACCATTTTTGTTTTTATATAACAGAATGACAGATAAGCCATAGCTATTTAGATTTGAGTATTTGGCAGGTAATTCCTTGGAAATGAATAAGTGAGACAGCCACTTCAAGGAAAACATTTATAGCCAGTGCTAAAATTAGATTTTTGGGAAACACCTATCTGTCACTATGAACTTGCCAGTTTCTTAATACTTAAAGACTTTTCTGATAAGATGGGTGGTGATATTAAGGAATGTGATCTAACAAAAATATGTTGGGCTGGGCACCGTGGTGTACACCTGTATTTGTAGCACTTTGGGAGGTGGAGGTGGGAGAATTGCTTTTGACCAAGAGTTCAAGACCCCGTTTCTACAAAAACATATAAAAAAATTAGCCAGGTGTAATGGCATGTGCCTGTAGTTCTAGCTGCGCAGGAGGCTTAGGTGAGAGTATTGCTTGAGCCAGGGAGTTCAAATCTGCATTAAGCTAGAATCATATCACTGCACTCCAGCCTGGGCTACAGAGTGAGACTGTGTTGTGGATGTGTGTAAGGGGCAGAGGTGGGGGTGGGAGGAGTATGAGGAAGTGTGTCAACATTAGGAAAATCTGTATAAGTCATTGAACCAGTATTTTCCCGAATGACCAATTTATGTTACAAAATCATGAATGGGCAGGCGATCCATTCAAAGTACAGCATAGACAAATGCATTTTTATGTATCGGAGCCAAAAAGTTCGTTGATACAGGTTCAGATTCCACATTGTAACTAACCTTTAAGAATTGCCACTTGAATTTTGGTGTTGAGTAAAAGATGAATATCCATTA